GTCATAGCGCCCTCGCTCGCTTTTGCTAGGGTGACAGATGGCCTCACCTACCACCCCCAGGGCTGCGCTTATGGAGGACGTAGGGCATTCTGCTACCTTCGGCGCCTGAGTCGTCTGCGTTACCGGACCTGTTGCCGGACCTGGCTTACCGGGAGAGTTCTAAACCTCTCCCGGTCCCGCTCTGCTATCTCCTTTGCAAGCATAACATGCTCGGCGGAGATCCACGAACTCTCGCTCCGTACCATGGCAGCAATCATGTTACCGAGCGAGAGAATTCCTACCATCCCGGCCATCGCAGTGGTGGCACTCAGACGTTGGCTTCTTGCGGATCAGACACAGGTGATCTCCGAAGCATCCTTTTCCGGTGATCACCTGCGTCCACCGGTATGAGAGGGTTCCGTGATGCCTTTCGAGCCAATCCTCCATAACGGATCTTACCGCCGTGATAACGGCGTGCTCAGTGCTACAGTACTGTACAATATACCGTAGGACACACACCCTATCCATTCGTCGAACGGACATACAACTGTCTGTCTCTATATTTGACTATTTGATGTTGTGTCATAATAATGGTTTTAATAAATAACTGCCTGATGTTAGCGCATCACATTCTGAATATAGGTCGAGTATAGGGTACCTTTAGGAGATTATTATCGACCATGTGTCTTAAATTTTTAGAAACGTATGTTAACCTACGTGTTCTTCCAGCTAGATAATTAATATATGGACACCATGTTAGCTTATCATCAAGGATTATACCATGATATTTGATTGTATTTACTCGATCTAAGTAATGGCAATTGCAGTTTTATTTTGTCAATAAGTGATAAATTTTGTTTTCTGAAAATTATCAGTTAGTAAATTTTGACTCAGTCAATTTGCGACTCTATGGAAACCTAATTGAAACTTTATATGTTTAAAAATTCCACTATTGACATCATACGAGTATCCCGAGAATTTTGTTTATATGGCATAATCCAAACCCGAGTTATAAGGGTTAAAAAATCGACGAAGTGCTTCGACAAAAGGTAAGGTAGGTGTGCACTTGCGGTTCGCTTGGCTCATCATGGCGGATATTTTCCCAAGTAGCTTTTTCGAAGCTTAGATCAGATTAGATGGCCAAGTTTTGTGTAAGCTGTACGTTTAAATAATTCGTAAAATGTGTAAGTAACAATAACACATAAATTAGCACACGATTCCTTCTTGTGTTACGCGGTTTTGTTGAGTGACCACAACTGGATATGTATTACTCTAGGTATTATAGTATTATAGTTTTAACTATTATTACATTTTTAAATTAAGAGCCTGTTTTATGGTAGCCAGGCAAAACTGTTTATAAAAAGTGTGATAACATTTTAAGACCGGTATGTACGGCGGATAAACTTTAAACATTTCTGAAAAACGTGTTCTTGAACGTGAAAATGTTTAAACATATTCGGTTATCCTATTGAAACAAAAAGTATTATTTTCATATTATTATCATGGATGGAACAGTTTTCCGCTTAAGAAACATAAGCTTTATTTAAATTCAAATTTTAATCAGAAATTGTTAAGCATTGCAAAGTGTCCGTGTGGTGACGGATTAAGAATACAAAGTGTCACCAACCCTATTCATCCCGTGGGTGTCGTAAGAGCCGACTCAGGGAAAAAACTACGCAGAACAACAGCACTGCAGAGAGAAGGAAAACTTGACACAAACCCTATACCAACCCGTCTGGCCAGCGTAGTATAGTAGGCCAAAACCTCCTTTCTAAGGAAAGGCTTTTGTCCAGCAGTGGACTATTAAGGGCTGTTGATGTAATTGCAAAGTTAAGTATTCCTAGCCAGGTCAGTCTATGGAAGGGTGACCACTCTCACATTGAGACATTGAGCATGTTAAGCTGTCGGTCCCGCTTGCCACGCAAACATCTGTGGTAATCGTTACGCGTAGTTGGAATCCTAAAAAGTCCGACAATAGTCTTTCTACAGAACTTCGATATAATCATAACAACAAACAAAGCTGAATTTAAATTTTAGTTAATCTGTGGCGACTCGACACATAAACATACTACAGCGCCATCTAATGAAGACACACCGAACTACTCAGTAACTACTAAATAACTACTAAATAAGAATTGCTAATCCTGTATCGCGATATGAAGAATTCCCTCGCCGATTAGCATATATACAACTTCCCAACATCAACCGTCGGGCCGCGGCCCGCCAGGCATGATCACCTCGCCTGGTCGGAGGATCCTCCCTTTGTGTTGGAGGGACATGACACCCGTTCCTCCACAGTGGTGACCCCGACGTGATTGGAAGCAGCCTTCAAAAGGAGCAGATCATCAGCAGCACCATCGTGTACACTCCCACAGAGATGAGCAGTAATCAAGTCTCAGCCAGCCAGCAACCTTGGCCTCTACAGGGATACCACACGCAGGTAGCGATCGCTCCAGCCTGGTTACCTCTACGGCCTCATCAGCGTCTAGGCACAGCACACTGCACCTACGGTCCACGTAAGAAGAGCATTTTCTCTCCCGTCTACGCAGCAGCCAGCCACTACCCAGCAACCGCCCCGACTCACTGGGGTCTTCACCGCAGCACCGCGCACCGCACGCCATCCCGACTCACTGGGATCAGCGGACTTCAGCCCCGACTCACTGGGGCTAGCGGCACTCAGTTCCGACCCACTGGAACTAGCGGCACTCAGTTCCGACCCACTGGAACTAGCGGCACTCAGTTCCGACCCACTGGAATTAGCGGCACTCAGTTCCGACTCACTGGAACTACTCACTACTGGCACTGGCACGCTCCACAACAGGGCATAGACAGCTGACTCATCATATATCGACCTCCGGTCTTGGAGGGGAGTGATGTGGCGACTCGACACATAAACATACTACAGCGCCATCTAATGAAGACACACCGAACTACTCAGTAACTACTAAATAACTACTAAATAAGAATTGCTAATCCTGTATCGCGATATGAAGAATTCCCTCGCCGATTAGCATATATACAACTTCCCAACATCAACCGTCGGGCCGCGGCCCGCCAGGCATGATCACCTCGCCTGGTCGGAGGATCCTCCCTTTGTGTTGGAGGGACATGACACCCGTTCCTCCACAAATCTAAATACCATTTCTAAATATGATAATAAATATGTCTTGAGAAATAGACAGTGTTATCTGTTTGTGTTATTAAAAATACCTAATGAGTCTCATAAATAATTATTCGAAAACACAAATACCATTATTACTTATGGTTTATGTAAACAAATTAGTTAAAGAAAATGACGATAGTTTAATGAGGGTTTTTGAAATGCCAAACACATAGTAAAAGACATAATAGGCTTAGATAGGTAAAATATCAGTAGGTTAGTAGTACCTACCTGCTCATTAATCAAAAATCGAAGATAAGACTGCAAAAACGTGTAAGAGCAGTTTTAAATACCTTGTATTTTCAAAAATCACAAATTTAGATAAATATTATGGAGATAAAGTTAAATAAAGTTTTTTTATAAACTCATAAAATATCCTGCAAAGGAATTACATTCAAGTTGAGTCGCAAAAGTAACCAATCAAGATAGTCAATTATTTCTTCCTACTCGAAAATTTTGACAATGTTGATACGCGGTTTTGCAAGTTGCTCTTAGGTATGCGCCCAATACAAATACTTAAATATAAAATGACTATCCTTCGAGATAAGTTGATAAATTTTCTAGTCCCCAGACATTGTGTACCTATGCTAGATTTTACTGTCATGCATCGGTTAACGAGTTTATTAGAAGTCTGAAAACCTATAAAACTAAAAAAAAGCGTTTCCATAAAATTATTAGGGATTATTAAAATGATAAAGATCGCCTTTATGTTATCTGGGTAGGCTCACAACACTCATAGTTTTTTCGTGTTAACATATACGGGCCAAACAGGAAGACGGGTCACTACCGTTCGTGACTGCTAGAAATGGCAAATATAGCTACATTTAAATCATGTTCATTTGATGAAATGATTGTGTTTAAGGACAGCGATTTCACATGTGATTTAAATCGGCCAAAATTCTTTTAATCAAAGATTACGACCTTTTTTTTTGATTTAGATCTTTCGCGAGCCTTGAAATAATAGTTAAGTAGCAGTGGCTTTGTAAATCAGTCACAGGTGTAATGAGATGATTCTCAAAACATAGGATTTATCACATGTGATTCTGATTTTATGCCATTCCTAGTGACTACCGCCGCCGAGGAACTCTCACAACTAAATAGATATAGATGCATTGCCGCCATGATGCACACAGACTCTGTGAATTGTAAGTCTTTTTTTTACTATTTTTGTTACAGTCGCCATACAAGCGCTTTAAAAATGTGAAAGTGTAAAATATTAATATGTATTTGTTGAAATAGCAGTAATGGAAATACACGATACTATTATATATTAATCCATTACGATATTTGAAATAACCACTAACTTTGTTTTGTGCTTAGTTTTTGATTATTTTGCTTTTATTCGTTTTAATATTTTATAAAAGAAAAGGACTTTATGTAGTTTAAGCAATTTAATCAGCTGTGGAGGCTTGTCATTAGCAATTCAGTTAGAACAATGGAACTAAAGTCCACAATTTTGGGTTATTGACTTTGTTCCTCCAACGTAGAATGACACTTAAAAAATCCAAAAAGAATGAAAAGAGATCCACAGCTAACAGTTACAAGCGGATTTTACAAATCTTTAATTAAAAGAAAAGAGTAATGACTTGTCAGAGTTTCCACTTCTTGAGTATTTCATTTAGGTTTGTCTTAATTATTGAATGTACAATCTTAATGGTTTTTAAACGAACAATGTTGTAAAATGTTCGTATGTCATATTCCGTTAGCGTCGATTGGTACTGTCAAAGTCATATTTAGCAACTGTCATTGTACTGACAGCTATGCTGTCACTGCTGTCAGTATCAGTCTGCGCAACAAGTGGATACGCAAGTCAGGTGTATTGATGTTCAAATTTTTTACGAACTTAATTTAAGTAGTGAGAATGTATATTTACGAACTACCATTTGAGATTAACAAAGAGTTATGTCGACTACTGGATATTGAAGACTATTGGAAGGAATTAGCAGGCAATCATATGAAATATTCAGCTTTCGATGTTAATGTACGTATGTATATTATTATATCACTAGTATTTTGATGAGCCGCGAAGTTTGGGATTTTCCTGAACGGTCAACATCTATATGATATGCTTTCTTGGGATTCCCAAATTATTTAAAGGTTTCTACGTCAGTGAAGGATGTTATTTTACTTTTCTAGAGACATTATATGTTCTTATGTGAGTCTTTTATTTTTCTATGTTGATGTTATTAATAAGTATATTGTCAGCATATACTTTTTACATTAGTAAACATCTGTATTTGTAATAAAATTAAAGTCAGCATCATCAACAGCCTTTATTAGTCCACTGCTTGACGGCTGCCTCTCCTTAGAAAAGAGGTTTTGGCCTGCTATACCACGTTACCAAAAGTAAAGTACAATAATATAATAGTTTTGCTGCAAAATATTGCATGCTGTATACCTAAAGTTCACAATATATTACCTATTTAAAGTTAAATACCATTATTTTCTTCTTTCAATTTTACTACAAATTATAAAACACTATTTTGATAAATAAACACTGTAAGGATAACACCTGTGCAATAACACTGGTATATATATCTTTCATAACTATCTATTATATAAAAATGTAAAGTTGGTTTGTGTACGTTTTAAAGACTTAAATAATTCTGCACCAATTGAACTCAAATTTTGACCTGATATATAAACCATTATGAAGATGTTTTTTTTTCTATCTTCACATTAGATTTGTTAACTGTTTCACTTCAATGCAACCACTAAGAGCCACAGTGAAGCTTTACCTGGTAGTTTTCATTATCTTTTATATTTTTCTATTATTATGGCTTCATTTTTTAATTTTAGAATGTTACAAGTTTTACTTATGGTAGTTGTGATTGCCTATAACGGAATGAGCACAAGGCATGTTTTTGTATATTTTTTAATTATAGTAGAAATGTGTATCATTTGTTGGCGATCCAAAATAAATAAAAAATATATATTAATCGTATTTGTTTTCTTCTTAATAATATTATATGGAATTAATTATTTTTATATTTGTAGGACATAGAACAGACCGCCCGCCGCTTTTCTATGTCACCCACTAATCAACTATTTACACGGTGGGGTCAGCTAAACCACAGAGCAGAAGAACTATTCATTCTATTATATAGAATGAAGCACATACCAGCACTGAATTGTCTAGCGCCTGCTGTAAATAAGGATTTCCACAAGCTCCTTAATAAACATAAGAATTCAAGCAGTGCTAAGGCAGCCTGTCACACTGCTCTAGTACAAGGTAAAATATTATAACTGATAAAAAAAATGCAGGAAGATTAAAAAAATATTTTTACCTTTACCATTTACTATAACACTTACAGAGCAGTAATGGCAAAATGGAAATGATAGGTTGCTTATAGACAATTATCTCCAAAACAACCTAAAGCTATAAGGTATTGCTACATCTCACAAAGTTTATATAATTTCAATTTATTATAATAAATTGTATACTTATAATTATGCTATGAATCAGAGCTACAACAAAAGTTGGTATTCATTGCATTTTCTATGTATCAAAAACCATCAAATGCTACTTTCCAATAAACAATAGCTTTTCTCAGTAAGTAGTGTAAAAAAAAGAAACTTAGTGAGTTATTTGTATATTAAAAAAAACTATCTCACATCATCATTTAATCATTCTTTATTAATAATAACTTTTTTTTAGATAAATCACCACAAAAAACAGATGGCAGCTTTAGCTCAATACCTTTGCCTGTTATGTTAATGGAAAAGGTTTGTTTTTTTTTTATTTATCATAAAAATATACTTATTAAATGTATTTTATAGTTTTTTATATTAGGTATGAAGTGTCGAGGCAAGGAGAACCATCTCCATCTCATATACGGGAAAAGTTGAAAAAGTGTCCAGCAACGACGAACAAAGCTGTTGTAGACCGAGTGAAGTGTGCGTAGTTAAAATATTATAATACTTAGTTATTATACGTTTATTTATTGTCTGTAAAACTCATTGACTATTTTCGCAGTCTAGTGCACAGTGTCTAATTTATTATTTAATCCAATATAAATTTATCCTAGGCTATCGCAGCGCAACCCTTATTGGACGCGTTTTTACGGACACTTTTCATACACAGAGATGGTTCTCCTTGCCTCTACCCTCCATAATACAAATGCAATGTCAAAAGCATGTTTGATTGTTAAATTTTTTACTACAAATAGATGATTATTGTACAAAGAGAAGCTCGATTCGTTTTTGTAAATGACTAGCCATTGCCCGCGGCTTCGCTCGAGTGAAAATGACGAACTTCCATGCAATCTTTCATCCCTTATTTTACTTCCTCAGTAGTGAAATTTAAAAAATCCTTTCTTAGCTTGTTGGTGCTTGCAACATAAAAAGCATTCGAGTTTGTAACTCCAGCGGTTTGGTGGTGATTCTCCGATTTCTTCGAATAATCTGTGAAAGTAAACTCAATATATATTTAAATTCTTGTCATTATGTTGTCATCAAGTGCTTGATTAAAATAATTAGTACGTATTTTAGAACAATTACCCACGATGAATTTAGAGAACTAAAGAAGAAAAGAACGATAATTACCCTTAGGATCTCCGTTGATGAATACACAACACACAAGATTATTTGTGTTTTTCATATAGTTAACAACAAATTTCTTAGAGAAAAATAGGTCCGCACCATCTTTGACCAGGTCAGTAGGGTAAACCTTTCACCACAACCGAAGTGGGTATTAGTGTAATCTTTTGTTAAAAGTTTAATATTTTCCTTATCATTAAATATTACTCAATGAGGAAAATCTTAAATCTCTCTCTAATCTTTTGCGTGGGCTAGCAGCAGATATAACATAACTTATTGGGTATTGTAACGAAATGGATTTAAATAATTTTATTACCTTATTTTGATTTATACCGACTAACGGAAGCAAAAAAGCTGCGTGTGTTGTATTTGCTCGCTTTCGTACTGTCTACTAATAATTATTAAATTGAATATACAGAAATATGATGTATATACCTACGTATATATTTTGTAGCAGGTCATAGGACACACAACAACAATGAAGCCACAGAATATAACGCTTTTGTGTACGTAATTTATACTATACTTAATCGCACACGCAGGTGGATGGTGTACAGCAGCCTACTTCAAGTATACACAATGGCACCGCACCCAGTCCATATGAGACAAGTTCAGATATAAGCAAGGTATGTGACGTAATGATATTTGTATTAAGGAAAATCCATTAATAACGCGACCTCTAAACGTTCAAAAACTCCTCTAATCTCATTATTATAGAGGTAATTTGAAATAAGGATAGAAAGGATAATGACATCTTCACGTTTACTAGTATTTAAGTTTTCGAAAAAACAATAGCGTATATCTTACGTGAAGAAGACATTTCATTAAACTTGAATAAGGAAGTATAAAAATGACAAACAAATATCTCACGTCATTAATAGACGCTCTCTTACTCTTGTATTTATGTATATACAAATGAGTTATTGTGTCACTATGTTTTGCATGCTGACGCACGTTTTGCTTAGAATTGTTTTATATAGAAGTTGATTCGTAACCACTTCAAAGAATATTTACACGTAATTTGTAAGGTACACGATTTCCTAAGCCACATAAGGTTCTCTATAATTTGGTTTGCTTATAAAGCTCTATTATTCTGGTGTGAGTAACATAGGTTAATAACATATCTTCCCCTTTCAAAATGTGGATTTCTACTTTGAATGATTGACGAGAGAAGTAAATCTGGTTTCGATAACAAGGATCAGGGAGGTCTTAATTCATCACGCTGTGCACTGAAATTTTGTGCATGATTGTTGCGACTTAACAAAGCGAGCAGTGTGACGGTTGTTGTATGCGGCTCTAAACTCTTAGATTAATTTCACAGCAACGAAAAAAAAAACCAGCATGCGGCGTACCTGATGTTTTAACAACATAAAACATGTTCCTTGTGAACCCATCTCGACAATTGCTGTCATCTGAGTGGTACGTGGGTAGTCAGGCGACATTAATACATGTATAAATTTACTACAGCTTCACCTGCGTGTATCCTCCATGTCTGTCTTATACAAAAAGATTCGTTCAGAGATTATCGCATTTAATTAAACTAATAAACAAAACAACTCTGTTATCTTGACGATCTTCTGCAGGTTACATCGGTCAGGTAGACCGAGTCTCCGATCTGTTGCCGAGGTTGTTATCTTTAAAATTAAGTAAAAGTTTTATATTTTTTCTTAAAATACGTATGTGGTGAATGCGGAGTGACTTGATTAAAACTTATTAATCGAAATGACTTATGTGTCGTTTCCATATAAGAACATGTTATGTAACGGTTTTTTTACCCGTTTTGGGCATTTACATAATTATTTACTGTAACAAATAGTCACATGCTTGCATGCTTATCTTGACGGTGAAGTAACTTGGCATGCTTAATAACAATGCTTATGAATCACATTTTAATTTTCAATATATGTAGGTATCAGATAGACAGTTAGTGTTGCGAACTTGTTCAGACGGACCATGTTTTTGCAGCATGTAGATTTTACTTACGTAACTCTGACCATTACGCCAATGACCATGATACAGCAATTTGGAAGCGCCTTTTTCGAAAGCTTACTTAAGAATAAACAATATTTAAGACTAGATGAACACATGGGATACAAAGAATGGGATAAATTTGTATGCAACACAAATTTAGATGCAATAGCCCTTACATTATTCTTTACCTCTAACATAACATAATATTGACATAATTTAAATATATTTTTACTCTGTACGTTACGTCACACATTTTCACCGACTACTCTAATATCGCCTAAAAATACTTTTAATAAAGAATTGAGTACTCAAACAAATAGTTAAATTTGCGATTGTATGAAAATGTACTCAAAACCTAAAAAGTGCTCGTATTGTAAGTTTAATTTTGTCATTAAAGCTATAAATTTGCAATATTTAATTTTTAATGTGCTTACTGAAAACATGTCGCATTTGCCCCGCTTGACCTTATTTATTTTAAAAATTTAATGATCAACTTTTGTGGTTAACTGTACCTTGCATCTAACCTACACGTAACCATAATACCTACTGTGCGGTTTGGTTGTTGAGTGTTTCGATCCATTCGAATATTCTGCAATCATCAAAACCTGTTGGAAATCATCATATTTCTAAAACAAGTTCCGGCTACGACCGATTACGTAGTTCAGTTGTCCAATCGACTATTTTAGAATAACATCAGATACTTTTACTTTTGATGTAAACATTCATCAATGACTTGTTTTGAAGTTTCATTTCTGATGCTCACCTTTTGCATTTGATTGTGTTTGCATTTTGATGTAAATATTGATCAATGACTTCTTTTGATGATCAGCTTTTGCATTGGATTGTGTTTGCATGTACCTATCAATGTAATTGTTGTTCTCGTTTAGTACCTACATAAATATTTAAAAAAACCCGTCTCTCGAATTTTATGTAAGACGAAACCTGTTTATGAAATGTGATTTTACTACTTTCTTTGAAATCATTTTGACCGTTACGACCATTTTTATACTAGACTAGCTGGTGCCCGCGACTTCATCCGCGTGGAATTCGAAAAGCGCTGTCTTAGTGGACTCGATTCCTGGACCGGGTAAAATTTTATAAGGTTTTTCTGATGGTATAAATAGCCTTTTTTTTTTTTTTTCCGTGCGGAAATCCCCTCGGATACCACCTGTCGGTGGCATGTCGGACTCGAACCGACTAAAACCGCACGCCTTCGCCGGGTACTAATAGCCGGGGAACCAGGTATACCCTAGAAAGGAAGGCCCTGGTGCAGGTATAAATAGCCTGAGTTACTCCTTATATAGACAGCTACCTGGTAGTAAAATATTATCAAAATCGGTCAAGCCGTTTTGAAGATTAACCGGAACAAAGAGACATACAGACAAAAAATATTAAAACTGGTTTTAAGACATAGGTATCGTGCAAATAACCGTGTGAAAAAAACATTATTTTGACATTAAAAACAGACACTTCAATTTTATTTGTATAGATACGTAAGTACTTACTTATTTCTTGCTTATGGGCTTTTTGTAAATTGCAGTTACTGTATTTGAATTTTTGTCTACTTTTTTAAAACTTTGCACAGGGTAAGAAACTGGCGGCCTAATGACCGTAGACAATAAATTAGGTGAGCAATCTCCTTAGGTTTATGGCCTTTGTGCTTACTTAATTTAAAGTCCGCAACCCTAATTACCTTTTGCTAAGATGATAAAACAGCATACTGACAAAATATATGTGGTTCACGGTGACTGTAAACAATTTCATAACCTGTGTTTTTTTAAACAACTGTTTATGTGTAACTAAGTGCTCAAGTAGTGTAGCCTCCATAAATCAGCTGTCCCTTTCTTTCAACCATGTACACCTTTATTGTTATCCAACTCCCATACCAATGATATCGTGAACTTAAGAGATTACGTGCATTCAACATCTGTTATTCTTTTGTGCTATGTATATAATATATATTATATATTCGACATTGAAACAAGCCTTTAAGTTGTTTTTTTGGGTTATTGGCCTAAGTTTTTAATATGTGAGAAGAGGTTTTTTAGTTAAAAGCCTCTTCCCACACATTAACTAACGCTTGCTTGTGACGACTTAATCTATTCAGTAACTAGATAGGTACTCCTTCTGCACCTCGCAATGATTTTTCTTGTTCAGTAATTTGCCGGCAATGTATCTTTATACTGCGTTCCTTTAAAACTTTCTATAAGTACATACTATACGTAGGTACACTCACGACTCATTCCCGCGGTAAGCAGAGACGATAGAACTTCTTTTGCCATGATCCTGATATACAAATCAAGTCTCTTGCACTCATCAGGTCTTTTTTATGCTCTCAATTCATAAATTAGTAATTTTTAACAAATTTGCAAGTAGCGTCGATGACGCCCCATCACACACTCAAACTTACGTAATACCGATTCTATCTTAACACATTAACATAGTTGTTAATTGTAGTTTGTAACTGTTATCTTTTTTTTTATTATTATTGTAATGATATTGTGGGTTGGTAGCCTGAGTCTGTGTATTGTTTTGAAAAATTTACTACTATCGAAAAAAATCTAATAGTAGGTATAATCTAATTATAACGTCACCTTAAAATAAAGAAGCGTTTGCTTGTATCGAACTTCTTGTTATGCGATGACTATTTAGATTTAAGTTTTATACAAATTAGTCAGAGATTCACAGAAATCTTTGTGGATAATAAAACAGAAATGCTTTTTTTTGTCGCTTATCTCTACAATCACCAGTCTGTCTGAATTTAAATATATTTTTGCATTTGATAGCTCAGTTTTAAGTTATAGGGTACTAGCCTGCGGCTCCGTCCTTTTGTATGTCGGTTATAGTGGTATATGACCTTTTCCAAGAGTTGAACTATCTCTATACAAAATTTTATCTAAATTGGTTTAACGGTTTAAGCGTGAAGAGGAACAGATATTAGATAGTCACCATTTCGCAGTTCTAATATAGCATTAAAATGAATCGCAAATTAATATTGATTAGTATGGATAAAATATCACGCTACTACGCTAAGGAGTGGAGCAGTGACTAAACGACTAGTCTAGGTCCAGATTAAAACACGATATGTACTAGAAGTATAATTAAGAACAGTAAAACCTTCTTACTGTATTCAATATATACTCGTATATATACGTATAAACGTTACAATTTTGACATTTAGGTACTTTCATTAGATATGGGTGATACGATGCATAAAGAGGTTCGTCCGATCCAGCTAAGTGATTAAGCCTTGCGGGCCATAGCCCAAATTTTCTGTTGCTATTGGGAAATTGTATACATTATGGCACAAAAACTTTCAAAAACAGAAGACGATGACTAGTATTTTTTTTTGTTTTATAGTGCAGTCACCACAGCTTAAATATTTTTTTTTTTTACTGCACGATTGGCGTAGTGGTTGAAGCGGTCATCTTGCTACTTCCTACTGCGCTGAGTGTTGTGGGTCCGATCCCCACATGGGACAACACTTTGTGTGATTCACAAATTGTTGTTCTGAGTCGGGTGTTCTTTGTGTCCGTTTAATGTATGTTTGTAAAGTCCCCTGTGACAGGATATTTTCCTAGAGCGGGAGTTGTCCTTTAAAAGAAAGTAAGTTGTAATATAACCTACGCATTAATCAAATGACGGGCCTGTTGGTCTAGTGGTTAGTGACCCTGACTGCTAAGCCGGAGGTCGTGGGTTCGATTCCCACCCAGGACAAATATTGTGTGATGAGCACGGTCATTTGTTCTGTGTCTGGGTGTAATTTATCTATAATATGTATGTATTTAAAAATATATAAGTATGTTTATCAGCGGTCTGGTTACCATAGCACAGGCTCTGCCTAGTTTGGGATCAGACGGCCGTGTGTGAGATGTGTGAGATATAAAAAAAAAAAAAAAAAAAAACACGTAAATCGAGTTTAAATTATAGTTTTATCCTATAATAAAATTAAAATAGAGAGATGATTGAGGAGATAAACAACTAAGGAACTAATTATATTCCTTGTGATATATTAGCTTTTGCCAGCGGCTCCGCCCGCGTAAATGTCTGTAATCGCGGTAAAAGTTGCATATGTCTTTCCTTAAGAATCAAAGTATCTCCATACCTCCTCCACCTAAATCGGGTCAGCGGTTCTTGATTCCAGTGAAAGACAGACAGACAGATAGACACACTTTCGCTTTTATAATGTTAGTATGGATTTGCATCATCAGACCAAAGTTAAATGTATAAGAAATAATATTAAACAAAGACAGCGATTTATTTTTACCGTTGACTAAAATATTAACATACATAAAAGTTACAAAGCCATACATAAAAGCATTGACACTAGAGAACCGTTACTCTTTGACTTCATGTCAACAGACGGCGGTAACTATATGAGATTATATAACATTCGAAATATTTGCAGGATTCGTCCACTGGAGGCAAGGCGAACAATGACGAGTATGAAATCATGAAGAGAGTCTCGTCCATACCGAAGATGAGTTATGAAGAACTAAAGGAGGCCACTGACAATTGGAGTAATAACAACTTGCTGGGTAGAGGCGGATTTGGACAAGTTTTCAAAGGTAGGGAACTGAGATTTTACTTTGAGTGGACTTTTTTATATCGTCAACAAATGAAATTCACATTCAATTATGAAGAAATTTTGATAAAATTCTTTGCTATTTTAATTGTTTTTAATGAAAATTATGAATAATGAATAAGTTACCGTTAAAAAGTTCAAAATTTTAGTGGGTTTAGCTCAGCAGTGGTTAATGCTGAATCCATATCGACTATGGTATTGGTGACGTTTTTTACATATTGCTTGTAATCGATATCATTCAGGGGCGGTATAAGGATTATTATGCAACAGTGATTGAATCAATTGTACGTTATCTATTCGATTGATATCCAGGTTGTTACTTATCACCTATCACTCAAACAGCAGTTGATGCTATAAGTGATTATTATTGCTATAAGTTTAACATATTTATTTTCTCGACATTCAATAAATACCGAGCTCTTATTACTTAAATACAAAACTGTTTATTTTAATTTTACGTTATTTTAGGTTAATTTTACGTAATTTTACGTTAGTAGAATTCTCCAATTCCCTTCGAAGATAAAATTAATGTGGGTTAGTTATTATGTCTTAGGTGAATGGAAACACCTCCCCGTTGCTGTTAAGCGGCTGCAGCGCGAAAACGACGGCCGGAACAAGGAGTTAATCGCAGAAATGTGTCTCAACCAGTATCGACATGACAATATTCTACCGCTGTATGGATACTGTTTAGGAGGTATGACAGTCAGAAAAGAAACGTTATAACATAAATTACAAAAAAAAAACAATATAATGTTCGAAATTTAAAATAAACGCCCATTTCAAATGTTGGAAGACACATTAAAGACACATCCAACGTTTTGTACACTTTCTTTTTTATTTTGTAAAAAAGGCCACAATCTTTTGAGTTGCGACCTTAAGATAAAATATGTTAACAGAACAAGTACTAGGTCTCCGTGTGGTGACGGCTTTAGAATACATAGTGTCACCAGCCCTATTCATCCCGTGGGTGTCATAAGAGCCGACTAAGGTAGCTAACTCTGCAGAGATTGCTACCTTAGTTTGTTCGTTGCAAGAGAAAGAAAACTAGAAACAAACCCTATACCAATCCGTCTGGCCAGCGTTACATGGTAGGCCAAAACCTCCTTTCTAAGGAGGGGTCTACGTCCAGCAGTGGACTATTAGGGCTCTTGACGATGATGAAGTACTAAAAATGCATTTAATTCAATGCTGCATAAGTATCTAATAAAATTTTATTTCAGGTCCAGAAGCATGTCTAGTATACCAGCTGATGGCGGGCGGCTCACTAGAACAGAGACTTAGAGGCAAGACTCATCATCCGCCGCTCACGTGGTCCCAGCGTTATAATATTGCGCACGGTGTGGCTCGGTACTGATATTAACTTGTAATAGAAAAGATCAGAAGCCCAAGTGCGAGTTTATTTCACATCTAGGTATTCGATCTTCACGGTGACCGCATTCGGTGCTGCGATTGGCCTAAAATCTTTACCAATCGCAACGTTGAACGCGCTCTGTTAAGAGCGAGTTGATGCACCTTAAACTTAAATAAACTTGCACTAGGCCCTCTGAAATAATCCCCTCCCCCCCCCTTTAAGGGAGGGTTGCTCCTTGGAAAACCACACTCACTCAGTAAATAGAAACGAAAGAATTACTCAACAACAGTTTGCTCTGAGGCTATGGGCACTATGGTATCACTGCCGTCTAGCCGACTAATATTTCCTACGGTTATATTAGGTCCTTATATTTCTGAATATACATGTATATTTATATCCAAATTTTGACACGATATGCAATCTGCTTCAAAGATGGCTTTTGCCTTATTTATTTCTTTATTTTTTATTTGCTTTTTTATTCCTCATTAATGCTACGACAATATGCCATAGCGAAGCGTGGTAGGGTACCTACAGCTAGTTATCAATATATATAGTGTTTACAAGTGAAATCTTAGACCCCTTAGCGCTTCTAGGATAAAACTTTGTAACAAGGTATTATGTCCTCTATGAATAGTTTCCATATATATACGGGTACAAAAGCATAAAATCAGGGAGTCTTCACATCATCACATCAACAATTTTTCCTAGTCCACTGCTGGACATAGGCCTCTTCTTAGAAAGGAGGTTTTGGTCTACTATACCACGCTGGCCAGCCGCCACGCTGGCCAAAACGGGTTGGTATAGGGTTTGTGTCAAGTTTGTGGAGGAATGGGTGTCATGTCCCTCCTACACAAAAAGGAAGGATCCTCCGACCAGGCGTAGTGATCATGCGTGGCGGGCGTCTTAAATGAAAATAATAAATTATTGTTGCAGAGGCCTTCAGTTCTTACACACGATGGCCGGTACCCCTCTTATCCACGGTGACATAAAACCAGCCAACATTCTACTGGATCAATGCCTTATGCCCAAGATCGGTGACTTCGGTCTAGCTAGGAAAGGACCCTATGGAGAAGATAGAACACATTTAAAAGTTTCAAGGTAGGTTTATTTACTTGAAATTTTCCTTTTTGTGTTTTTCGAAATGTAACCAAAAAATTATTAAAGTATTTGGATATGTGTAGTTTTGAATTAGTAAGAACGCTGTGTAGTTATCCCTTAGAACGTAGTTACTTCTGTGCTATTGTAAAATCACTAGTCTGTGTTAAGAAATAAGCAAAATAATATTTGTATCATGTTTTCTTGTATCCTTCTCACCTACGCAAAACATAGGCAGTAAGTAAAATTAAAGTTTAGTTAAATCGAAGTTAAGTGATTGATTAACGAATTACAAATTGAAGCTAACAACGGTTTTTATGTGAGGCAGCGGTATCACCGGTCGAGCAGGCCGATTTGTGCCGAAGCTTGGCTCTACATACATACATAGACTCATGATTACCTACAGCCACTTACGAGTTACGACGTCTGACGGTTGATCTAGTGGTTAGTGACCCTGACTGCTAAGCCGGAGGTCGTGGGTTCGATTCCCACCCAGCAAAAATATTGTGTGATGAGCATGATCATTTCTTCTTTGTCTGGGTGTAATTTATCTATAATATTCATGTATTTAGAGGTATTTAAGTATGTTTATCAGCAGTCTGGTTACCATAGCACAAACTTTGCCTAGTTTGAGATCAGACGGCCGTGTGTGAGATGTGTAAAGTTATTATTATTTAATTAGATAATTAGAATTGTATTAACAACCCACCTTTTGCCAACTAAATTTAGGTCCCACTCATGTATTGCAGTCAATTATAAGTGTAGAAAATGAATGATAGGAAACGGGAAACTAAAGAAGGAGACCTAGTTATAACAACTTGGGGTTGCATACCTGTAGTTCAAACTGGCTGTTTCCTAGAAATCTATTGGAACGAAGTTCCTAATGGCGCGTTACACGCTCTGAGCGGATGGGAGCGAGACCGAAAAATGTGTAACAAGACTTTTTTCTGACATATCAGTGGGCGCTTCGACGCTTACGTCTTTTTCATATATATAGCAAACGCCTATCAAAAAGCGAAAGGAACTTCATTTCGACCGGGGGTCTATAGACCCCTGACGCCGTTTTTATATTTATAACTAGCTTTGCCCCGCGGCTACGCCTGTTATCGCGGTAAAAAGTAGCCTATGTCCTTCCTCGAGCATCCAAGCATCTCAATCGAATAATAGCAAGCATCGAATTTCGGTTCAGCGGTTTAGCCGTGAAAGCGTAGCACACAGACAGAGTTACTTTCTTATTTATAAAATTAAGTAGAGATTGCCAAAGTGGACGGGAATAGGTTTCTTTGCTATTATGTGAATGAAAACAAAATATTGTTAGGTAAATGTGGGTATTTAACATAAATATGCTGACCCTTTTTGTAAACCGTTATATCATTTTTTTTAAATTTAAACAGGGTATTCGGCACCCGGCCCTACCTGCCGTACGAGTATCTGAGCACCCGCTGTCTGTCTCCAGCAGTGGACGTATACAGCTATGGCGTGGTTATGGTTGAGATGGCTACAGTACTACTTGCGCTGGACAGAGACCGGAAAGTCCAGTTGCTAAGCCAGCATATACACGAAATAGCTAAACTTGGAATTGATCCAGGTATTTCTTTTATTTCTGGTAAATTAGTTTTAGCAGCCAGTCTGTTACAATCCTTTTGCATTCATATTTGTTTCTGCAGTCAATTTGTAAAACTTTGTTAAATTGTATGTAAGTGAAAAGTCCGAGGAACTCAAAAATCTATTTCTATAAGGTGTCCTGTGCCAGTTAGCTAGTGGCAGTTTAAGAAATAAAAAAAATAAAAGCGTTCTAAGTTAATTAGTTCACGAATTCACAATATCCCAACAAGGACTGCCACAAGGTTAATAAACTGTTTTTATTTTTTTTGGTTCTGAAACATGCCATAGGTATTTAAAAATAAAGATGACTTTGAGATATATTTATTGTACAGCGCTATTTACAATTCTAGACACAAATTTTTTCGCGTTCGTTCTATAGGTTTAAAAAAACAAATATGAATTTCCTTTTTATTTAAATTGTATTAAAAAATAAACGGAATCTTCTGACAATCTATCAGACATTGATCGCTGTATTCTCAAGAACGTAAATCATTTTTAATAATAATCTTACTCATTTTTTTGTGCGGATATTTTGTCTTTTTCTTATCATAAATTGTATTTATTTTTTATCAGTTTCACAAATTGTTTATTTATGGGTATATCATAATATGTACATTTCTTTATTACAGCCACGCTAGAGGATCCAGTAATACGAGGAACTGCGTATTCGAACCCGTCGATGTGCCGCGAGTTCTTTTCTATCGGACTACACTGTACAAAATTCAAGCGAAATGAACGGCCCACTATGCTGGAGGTTTTTAAGAGACTAAATGCTTTCCAAACGCCTCAGGCAAACTTCACTTGATGAAGTGAATGCCTGACCTAGGAAAGTGCTTTGTTAATATAACAGTAATAATTATATTACGCATTTTGGATCTTTGAACTTATATTATTACTAAGATTGGGTTATTCGCTAGCTGCGAACCACGGAGCAAATAAATGCAAAGAGGAGAGGGCCCAAGCAACCGTGTACTGTGATTCTAACTATTAGCGTATTAAAATAAGAAAATACTGAAATTTTGTCTGCATATTCAGTCCTAAAGAATTTTTAATCTCCAAAATATTATTTTTATATTTTTTGTACTTAATCATTTTGTGAACACACTATGTAGGTATGTTTTATACACCTAAATTATTTCTTGAAAAGTCCAACAGTACCCAAAAATATTTAAAAAACTAGACTAGTGGAAACCTGAGAGTAGCGTGTTCTAAGGACAAACCAAAGGTTTGTAGTAGGTATCAGTGTAAACTAACTCCAATACCCAAACGACCTGGTCTACCTACACTCGAATAAAAATAGTTTTAAAACACATTTGAATATTGGTTACTCTACATTTATATCTAGGATCCATTGTTTGTTTAATGAATGTATAGATAACTTATATAAAGAAAATGTTACTGTATACCATTTTAATTTGGAGACCAAATTAAAATAGTACACAGTTACATTGGTAATAATATTTAATATAATAATAATATTTTGGTATTTAACCGAGTCACGTACGCACCTGAGCGTAAACGGAGTTGTTGAAAGGTGTCAGAGCGTCGCTGTCGACGGATACATCTGGGAGGACATCATCATCATCAATTTGGAGATGTATGCTTCAACACACATATGTGCCGTCTCGATCAAATTGATGACACGGCCTTACAGAAAATCGTTGTTACGCATTTTTTTGTTGCTTTTCATCGAGTGACATCACCAAAGGCCCAGCTCGCCCCCTAATAGTGGGATGCAACTCTAAGGATATTAACGCTCATGTTTCTCTTGAGTTGCGCGTATCCATGGGCGGCGGTAGGCACTTACCATTATAATAATAATATATTATAATTTATTTATAAAGTGTATGTTTAAAAATATAATTGGAATGTATAAAAAATAATAAAGAGAATGGGTGTTTTCCATATATTAGGTCTTTACCTATGAAATTGCCGTTTTGTATGCAATAAGTGAAAGTACATATTTTTTCAAACTTTTTTATTTCTGTTATTCGAAGTAATCACCCATGCAATCGACGCATCTTTGCCAACGCATTGGCAGTTTATTGATGCCCTTCTTGTAAAAATCAGCTGGACGGGAGGCAACAAACTTCAAAGGCATTTTGTACTGCCTCTCGGGAATTGAATTTTTTAACCACTAAAAAGTTGTCTAAATTTTGGAAAAAGTAATAGTCGGTAGCTGCAAGGTGTGACCCATGTGCTCGTTTGTTCCCTTTACCGCAATATATATATATATATTTTATATCTTTTACGGTATATATTTATGTGACCAATGTAAATAGTATAAACACACAAAAAAATAGTCTATTGTGCCATCATCACCGTCTTCTCCTGTTCAACATATGTACATACACTCATGCCTGTTATTGTATTAATATTGGCAGTTGTTCTTATTAAGACAGTTGAAATATGTCTGCAAACAACTATGAGCCATAAGCGGTTACGGGTGCTAATGAAAATCTTCTATAGGTCTCGTGTGGGCCAACGAAGCAATTTTGTTTGCCTTATATTCTTGCATAAGTAGTATTTTATAATAGTATTGAATATTTCCACTCTCGAGGACGAAGTTGCTTTATTGGAAAAATAAATCTAAGAGAAAATTTAAGAGATTGAAATTTGGTCACACTGAATTTTTTCACAAAATGTTATTGAGACATAATTAATATACCTACTAAGTATTTCAGTTATGAGGTTTTAAATATGTTGCTGGGCTAAGTTAGATTTTGATCATTGCGATCCATTTGAAGTAGAGAAAGGTTATTTGTGGTTATTTATTAAAAATACCTAGTAGGTATGTAAACATGTGTAATGAACTTGTTAATTGGGAAATATTCATTTCTTTTAATAAGTATGTTATAGTAAAATATAAATATGACTGATTTCATCATAAATAAGTTGTGTTAAGTTATTTTATATATACATATATTCTATGTAAGTGTATAAAAAATAGGTTCCTTAGAGAATTTTTAAGCTTAACATTTATGGAGATAATTAATTTTGAACAGTGTGCTACTTTTAATCTACACTTTAATGTACTTCCCAGTAGTATATTAAATTTTATAGTAGACAAATAGAAAATTTACAATCTAAGTTTATATATTTTTAGTACTTAAAATAAATAAATAGGCAAAATATTTTCAAATAAAACGGGTTTTATTTGCCATTTCTAATTTTCATTTCATTTTACTTCACAGACAGTTATACAGATTAGAAAAACAAAACACAAAGTACCAGGTATTACTTATTATTTGTACCTATTATCATTATTGATAACAACAACAAACAAGGATGACTAAACACCGCAAGAATTATTCCTCCAAAAATCCCAATTTTGGGAGTATTCCACTGTTCTCATGTGTATTTAGGGCCATTTAGTCATATAGTCTTGGGTCATATAGTCTAAATAATATTTCATATAGTTCTAACCCAAACTGAGAAACAGACAGTATCAAATGCTAAGAATTTATGATGTGCATTGATTTGTTTGTTTACTTTTTAATAATAAGAATATTTATTGATACATATTTATACACCACACAGATATATATATATATATATATGTGTGGTGAAAAAATAATAGTAATAAAGGAATAATTCGATTCGAGGCTAGGTCCAGCAGTTGACTACTGAAGGCTGTTGATGTGTATGTGATGTGATATATGCCTAGATATAATTTAGGTACAAGAAAATATACAGAAATAACAATATGGATTTTTATTTCTGTAACTAAACATAAAATATTACATTATACGGTTATTTACTACATAAGAAATATATTTGGCCTAATTCCTTGCTACAGGCTTCTTTCTGGTGTATGAAAATTCTTCTCTGCTATGGTATGGTGCATATGGATCTTCAACATAATATTTAGGTCTTTTCCAGAACTTTGTAACCATTTTGTCAAGCAATGTATTTTGAGTAGAGTTACAGAAAACATGTTGCCTTAAGCGTCTTTTCTGGGCAGAGGACTTTTTCCACATTTTTTTATGACGGCCTACTTTTGGTCTAATCCAACCTCCCCAGTGTAATCTAAAAAATCTACGAATTGCAGCCTTAACTGTCTTCCTTTTTCCTTTATTGAGGCTGAATTTTGTAACAGTCCTGGCAGGAACAACACCAAGGCGGCTAGATATTTCTAAAATCTGCTTATTATTCACAAGGGAAATAGGTTTCTCACTAATGTTTGAAGATACGCAGCAAACATTATTAAAAGTCGAGAAGTTCTTGTTAGAAATGATCTTGGCAGCATTTACATATGGGACTAAAAGAGGTCTTATACCACGAACAGCTGAAAAAGAAAATATGTAACCTCAAAACGGAGTGTTCAAAAGTTTGATACACAAAATAGTACTAAAAGCACTGGTTTATACTATAGGCAGAATAATTCAAGTGTTCATTCAATATTAAAGGTTTACTATTAAAGGTTCAATATTAAGGATTTACCAGATATTGCACATCTAATCATTTTTAGCAAAACACTAGTTTAAATTTCCGTAAATACTAAATATTGAATTTTGTCAAAGAGAAATGTCAAATTAGTTGACAGCTACTTGAAAAATTACGGGAATATTTTCACAGTCAAAAACTGAAGCCTCACTAGTTTAAATCAATTACTCAAAAAAAAATTCAGTGATAATTCGCCTAGCTACTTATGTGGATAAAACATTGAAATAAATAATAGATTTGTCCAACACGTCTAAAGTTAAAATGCAGAAAACGAAACTGACCTATGACAAGAGGTGTATCAATCTATTCTTTGTGTTTGCTCTTCTGTAGTCTCTGAATTCTGACAGCCCAAGTAAAAAGAGATTCGTGCCGAAAAATGTATAAATTTACAAACCATATTTCTAATGCAAAACTAATTTTGGTATGTACTAGTTTTGAGAGACTATAATAATTAGCACATTGTAGGTTTTAGCAATATGATAATTTATTGGCATCAGTATTTGTTGACGAATTCATGTCGCCGTTTTTATTGTTTTTTATTGTTGAAGATGTATCGTTTTAATTTCGGCGTAAGACTGCCTCATTAAACCGTTGATATAAGAATCTTCTGTTATCAAAAACATAAACTCATAACTCAAACATTATTGTTATGTTGTCTTACATAACAATATACGTCATTTTCTCGAATAACCTTAAACCCTGTTTGGCTGTGCTTTAGAATAAGTCCGGTTTTGTATGTCGTATTGTAAATTTACACAAAAATATTTTACTTAGTAGTAAATAAACAAATTTTTGGTTATACATACATACAAGGGCTTTTAAGCTATTGAAAACAGAAGGACCAAATGGTTGGAGACTTAGAACAATACTGGAGAAGAAAAAGAAGGCAAAAGAAAACGAGGAAGGCTTAGATCATCATACATACAAGTTGAGGAGAAAGTGGGAGTCATGGCCTATCAATAGGTCAAATAGATAATCGTGGTGATTGCTCCACCAATAAGGGCCTGGCCCTTAAATTGAGAGACAGAGAAGGGCTTAAAGTTAGTTTAGATGGTAAATGTAGCAGTCTACATACATACAAGTCTGCGTTTAAATTGCTCCGCCATATTACCTAAACAGAAAAAAAACCTACACAGAAACTGGTCTAAATCAAAGGAACAAACCAAAAATTTTTGTCCTTGGTTTTAAGATCTTTAGTCATACTAATGTAGACTGTGACTCGATAAAAAGTAGTGCAACTGTAGTTGCGCAACTTTTTAAGGAGTCACAGTATGTAGTACAATTAAATTAAATAGACAGTAGCACATAATGTGTTTAGGCTATATTGGAAAAAATGTGCCAATGAACTGGGTATTAGACAACTGAAGCCCAATTCTTGTAATAAAAGTTTGGGCTCAATTTAGTTCCGATCAACTTTCGATTTCACATCTGTCATAAAAGGTACATACCTATATATTATAATGTTATAAAAGGTGATATAAAACATGAAATGTTCATGCACATATATGTTTGACTAGACCTGCTCCAATTGATTAATATTATAGTAATAATATTTTTTCAGACAACTGACACAGAACACCATCTAGTTTCAAACCAAGCAGAGCTTGTACTATGAAAACTACATCGTAAATACATACATTACACATAGAAAACTCCCTGACTCCCAAACAAATATTGGCAGATCATACAAACTTTTAGTCCAACCCGGGAACCGAACCACTGAGCCAGTCAATAATAAACTAATATTAAACCCACAGTAAAAGCTTACTATAGCTTTACTTAATACAATTGTCTCACAATTTTCATTATTAATTGCCTTCTCTTACCTATGCACAAGGTTTATAAGAGTAGCTTTGGATTTTAATTCCAAAGAATACATAGACAATAGAAACATATCACTTGACAACCACAACCCATCCCTGTAAAGAAAATCATACTACCCAATTTGATTGCCTTGATACTCTAAACTAGAAAAAGTAAATTTTCAATTTAGTTAATAAATTGCCTCAAGTGATCTGAAAAAGTGGGTGAGCCATGCTTTGGCACAAATGGGCCAGCTCGCCCAGAGTGACGCATCAGCTTCACAGAAAACCGGTTTTAAGCATTCCTTTAGTTAGTTTTTACTGAGTGAGTGACTGGGATGGGAAACCAGGGGAGGGTTTGGTCACCTGATTTTTGGGGGGACTTAATAGGTTGAACAGGTAAGAGTCGCATACCTGTATCTTGAAATGGCTGATGCTAGATAGTCTGAGTCCTCTAAATGAATGAAACAAAACATCACCTCTTATTCTTGCATCTGAGGGTCTAGTGTGAATTTGTTTTACATCTTGATCGTCATTGTGACAGCTTTCGACTTTACGATTTACCCTCACTGACAACTTCACCAACCACTGTGATGATCGAGTTGATGTTAAATAAATTCATACTAAGCCCTTAAATCTGGTCTCGTCTTAACTGTGGAATACCTAATTATATTTTTTTTAGAAATTTGCCTTATTTTATTTGTAGGTCAGAAGACACTTAGACGGGTCAAATGCAGCTCTTGTGTTACTGCACAGACCACAGCGAGTGTATTCTACAAAGCAAAAAATACAATGTGAAGCAGATGCCGGACCACCAAAATCAAACAGACTATTTTGGGGACTTGTGGGGGCAACTGTATTTACTGGAGCTGCTGTAGTTTATGCTACGTAAAGTTGTATTTTTTAATATGCCATGAAATCTCATTCATTATCATCATCAACAGCTCCTAACTGTCCACTGACATAGACATAGGCCTCTCCTTAGAAAAAGGTTTTGACCTACTAAACCATGCTGTTGGTATAGGGTTTGTTTCAAGTTTCCTACTGTTTGCAGTGCTGTTGTTCTACAGAGTTTCCTCTGTTAGTCAGCTTTTACGACAGCCACGGGATAAATAGGTGTGATGACACACAGGGACGATATGTTATCTCATTATTATATTTTATTTGTATATTATTTTTGAGAAAAAAAAATTGTACTCATGCATAATTTATTGTCCAATTAATAATAATAATAACTTACACATCTTACACACTAGGCAGAGCCTGTACAATGGTAACCTATCTGCTAAAAAACACTGATATATTTCTAACTACATCTTACAGATACATTACATCCATACACAGAACAAATGATCATGCTCATCACACAATATTTGTCCTGGGTGGGAATCGAACTCACGACCTCTGGCTTAACAGTCAGGGTCACTAATCACTAGACCAACAAACCCATTGATTAAATCTACTTACATTAAAAGTTAAACAGAAAGAAGTCAGCAAGTAGAGCTTAAACACAAACAAACTATTCATATTATTCATTTTTACGTGGGATGTTACGGGAGAGGGAGTTCAATCTGAGGAATCCCACCCAATTCTGGAAATATCTCGTAATTTCTATTATCCTGAGAAAATGATGCAATAGTCACTATTGAAACCGCACGAGTCCACGTGAACTGAATTAGAATTAATATCCGAATTCTAGTTTATTATTTAATTAATTAATGCAGCCAAATGTTGTTCTTTTAAAAATAATAATATAGGAAGGCAGTTTTTGACAAAGGCCTTTAGCGACTTCATTGCTTTCTGTTATTTGCGACACGAGTGTATCAATCACCAATAAGTGCAACAATATTACTGTTTTTTTGAAAAGGAGATGTTAATTAGTCCAAATAATTGCTCTGTTGTCAATAGGAGTAGTCCAGATGCACGCAATTGGCTAGAGACAAACGCCCCTTGGGCTAATGATTTCGTGGCGTTAGTGAACCAGGAGAATACTACATACTACAAAGCAGCTGCCAACCAGTTCAATAAAGGCACCATTTGGCTCAGCCAGTTCTTGTTTGGAAAGGTGAGTACACTGCTTTCATAAACTTTTCCGAGCACCACTCTCGTAAAAGTTACTTCGTTTATCCATTGGGAATTAGTGCTTTATTTCTGTATGATTTGTATAGTTGAGAAGTAGTTATAGTAATAAAAGTTTTTAAACATTTTTTTATTACAGGAAGGTGTCACTCCACCAGATATTCCGCAAAGATCTGCACAAGACATGGAGAAAGAGTTAGCTATTAGTTTTGGTAAAAAGGAATATGAATGTAAGTTGCTTCTTTTTTTATTGACTTGGCTGTGTGTGTGAATTTGACTTACTCATCTACTATTTTTCTTTCGCATCACAAAATCTTTGTTTAAGAAGAGCTTAATGTCATTTGATTAGCATAATGTATTGCTTAATATATTTCTACCTATTTAAGAACCTATCAGTGATTTGTATTATTCATTCCACTGCAAACTAAAAAATACAAGATTATCCATTCAACTCACTTTAAAGAATGTTTGACAATAACAGAATTTGTCGCAGGCAGAGCATAGTTTAATATACCATAATTTTGCTAACCCGACCTTACCTAACAGTGCCGCCGCCTACGTTTGAGCCTTTGTACATTAAAGAGAAAGTAATTGACCCTCCTGAAGTTGAAACTGAAGGTAAGTGTAAAAACTGTAAAATTATGAACAATATCAGTTGAAGTATCATTTTTTCTTATACACACAAAAGTACCTGCATATTTAATTAAACCATCTTTCCTCAAAAAACAACCCAAAATGTGACTGGTTGAACAAGAATTCAGTGCAGATTAATTCGATTCAGATCTGAAAACAGTTTTCCTCAGCCCGCGACGGAATGGTACTTGAAAGTAAATTCCACAAAAGTCCACAAATTGTCAATTTTTTTTCTTCCCATACTCTTAATCGCTTTGAATTTTTGTTGGTAGAACTACTTGTTTGCTTTAAAGAGCATCTTTGTTTCTGGATGAAAGTTACCAAGACAAGTAATAATCGTTTGAGTAGCTACAAACATTAGATGTAAATTTAATACACGAATAAACTTATATACACTAAATTATATTAGTTTAAACACCACGCTTCACTCTGTGATAAATGTCTCTAAACTAATCGAGCATCGCTGATATTTTGGGTAAAACATGCTAGTATTACTTCTCAACTTTAGGCATAAGTAATAATAACAAATATTTTTTTGTTTAAGTTACTAAATTAGTGGACTAAACGTCTTCCTTCTTCTGAGCCTTAACAACTTTCTTCCTCTAAGCCCTTTTTCCTAAACTAGGCTGAGGTCGGCTTTAAGTTTACTACGATATAGCTGAACTCTGATTTTTTACGCGGCATGACTGCCGTCAAACCTACACAACCCAAGTACTAGGTGATATCGATGTTCTGTAGAAATGTTGTTGAAGTTTTTAGGGCTCCATCTGTACCCATCCAGGGTCACACATCCATAGACTGACCTGGCAGGGATTACTTAACTTTGCCATGTGTTTACCTACTCGGTTACCACTTGCCCAAGAGCTCAGACTTAACAACTATGGTTAGTTAAGTCTATCGTTAGTAATTATTATAGGTTTTTTGCTTAAGTACACTGAAAGTTGTATATATTAAATTCCTTTTGAAGATCGACTTATAGATTAAATAATTATTCTTTTTTATTCCAGCGACACTAGTCCATACGGAAAAATGTGAACCAACCCCACCTCCTACCATTAAGATAACTAAAGACATGGTGGAGATAGAACACGAAATGCACGAGAATACGAAACTCGCCGTCGATAACTATAAAGCTGCGACAAAACACTGTATTGCCTATAACAAGTCATTGTTTACGGTAATACTTTTATATAAGTCTCCTAGTTATTACCCTATTATGATGGATTTTGGCGTCTGAGGTGTCCTTAGATTCGTTCATTGTGAGAGTGTCCGTGTGGTAGAGAAATAACAATAGGGAGTGTCACCACCACAGTATTCATTCCGTGGGTGTCGTAAGAGCCGACTAAGGGAGCAAACTACACAGGAAAACAGCAATGCAAAGAGAAGTAAAACTTAACACAAGCCTATACCAACCTGTCTGGCCAGCATAGTATAGTAGCTCAAACCTCCCTTCTAAGGAGAGGGCTATGTGACAAGTTTTATCATTAATCTGACTATACTTATTACAGTTTTAATTTTTGTTGATCAATTATTTAAAATATTTTTAATATTCTTCATCCATAGATAATAGAGTCTGATCTAGACGATTTGGACAAAAAGTACTTCGCATCACTGCAAGGCGCTCTGACAGAGAGAGAAAATACTTACAAAAAAGCCAAAGATGCTGGGGCTAAAGCGAGGTGCGCCATTGGTATGTATTTAATATTTTATACAGACACGTTCATTTTTAAATTCGATATTATATTCGCCCAAAAAAAATGGAAAAATATTTAAGGTGGTGAGACGAAGCTGTTGGTTTTCCTTAAAAAGATAAAAATGGATCTACCGGCAAGATATTTTATTGTGGTGACTGTTCTTATTACCTACACGAGTTTAGCCACCTACTTTTTTCATGCCATCTCACAAGCTAGCATAAATCTGGCGAGATTAACTATTCTTTTTAAGTTCAATTCCACATTAGCTCCCTTCGGATTGGGAGACTTTAAAGACCGAACTTGCCAGTATACACAATCGCATACATAAAATATTGCAATAAAAAAATAAATTAGGTAGGTAGAGAGAACACCGAAATGTATTGTACAAATCTGCAAATATGATAAGATACAATACGATGAGCGGTCTTATCTCTTACAGACAACAAGGACTGGACTATATTTTTATAAGGTTTATTTATATAATAAATACATTTTTGTAATTAAATTTTTTTTTTATATAATAATGTAAATATAATTTTTATTTAATTAACGGACCTCTTTATCATAGAAAACATCCAAACTCCGATACCAATATTTGCAGATCATACAAACATTTAGTCCAACCTGGGAATCAAACCCGAGACCTCAACACAGCAGTCGCATACGCTCCCACTGCGTCACAGAGGCAGAGTATATGTATGTTTATCAGCAGTCTGGTTGCCATAGTACAGGCTCTGCTTAGTTTGGGATCAGACTGCTGTATGTGAGATGTGTGAAGTTACTATTATTTTATTTACAGAGACATTGGACCGGATGATAAAAGCTGGTGTACAAGCTCCCCCAGAAAGCATAGCAGCCACTAAACGCTACCTAGTTCAATTCCGCAAAGACCTCGATGAGGTTGAAACCAGTTACAAAAAGGAAGTACAAAACGCCGTGCTCACCGAGAAGTACTGGAGTAAGGTAAGCCAATTTGCATTTCTTTATATAACGTGTTAAACGAGGGTTAATAAGTAACTGTTGAAGAGCCATGTCTCGGCACATATAGCCCAGGTCAACCTGTATAATACCATAGAAAACCGGTTTTAACCGATTCTATTATTGCTCTTCACTGAATGAGGTTACTGGACTATCTTGAACCACCAAATTCTGGCATGGCGTTCAACGAGCCGAAAAATATTAGTCAGTCTTGAGTTACAGGCCCCTATGAGCGGCAGTAGTCGTCTTCCATCAGGTGGTCAGGTTCTACTCGATTCATCATTACACCATTCGTGGTTTTCTAACCAAATTCTCTACTTGGTATTTCGTAATCTTGTGTAATCACATTGGTATAACTTCGTCACAGTTGATTTTAGATTTTTTAAACGACTGACTAACTGACTGCATGGATGGCGTAGTGGTTTAAGCGGTCGCCACACCGCTTCCTACTGCGCTGAGTGTTGTGGGTTCGATCCCCACATGGGTCACCACTTTGTGTGATCCACAAATTGTTGTCTGTTCTGGGTGTTCTTTGGCTCCGTTTCATGTATATTTATAAAGTCCATGTGGCTGAACTGATGCTGGAAGGGTCCTTGACCTTTAGGAGTTAGAGAATAACTCTCAATAATATAATCATGTGTTGACCTTGTTTTATTCTTTCAAGATATTCGTTAGTTAATTGTGTAACAAACATTTTTTTTTCTAAATGAGATTACAAAACATTTAGACAAAAAAAATGTTTATTACGCTATTATTTTCCTGTTGGTTACCTCAAAACTCTTTCATTTGTGAACCGACTTGGATTTTTTTTATTTAGAAGGGTATATTTCCTCTTTGGATCCATTCAAATGTGAAGAAATAAATGCTTTTGTTTTTATTTTGTTCTAGTCGAAAGTCTAAATCGTGTAGGTATAACACGATGTTTATTGTGTTGCGATTTATCGGTGTGCGTTTCTTAATTTCTAATAGTTGACGCAAATGTCAAGGGCCAGCTGTGGGGCAAGGTATCTGTTGCTATTATAATGATATATTAAGGGGCGCACTTATTTTGGTTTTTTCAATTAGATTTGTAATTATTTTTTAATTTTTAGTGCTCGTTGTTAATTTTGTTTGATGTCGGTTCAACTTTTTTTTTTAAAAGGATTTATCAAAGTTTATTGTTATCGTCATAACTTCATATGTGACTATATCTTAAATTTGCTTATATTATACTCACTACATTTAAATTCAAACACCAGGTTGAGGAGGCTCGTCGTACGTTTAAGGATGAGCTAGAAGCCTTATTCCCTGGCATCGATCTGTGCGCCAAGACTCTGGAACTTAAAGGCGATACTGATCTTCTGCTGATGTATACTCTTAAACGGGTGAGTAACTCCTTACAGCCAAACTTGATCTAATAATATAAAATAAATTCACTCATCTCACACTCGACAGTCTGATCCCAAACTAGGCAGAGGCTGTTCTATGGCAATCCCTCCTATCACAGGCGCAGAGTGGCACACCTTGTGGTTTAGTCACGATCCGATCACAATTCCGACACACTACCCCGCTGCAAACCTCAGTGGGGTGAAGGCCCGAGTGGGTTTCCATACGTAAAATAAAAATGGCAACTAGACTGCTGATAAATATTATAAATTTTATACTTAAATATTTTTAAATACATACATATTTTAGATAAATTAGACCTAAACGGAAAAGATCTAATGCTGATTACACAATTATTTGTCTGGGTGGGAATAGAACCCACGAGCTCCTTGCAGTCAGGGTCACTAACCACTAGACCAACAGGAGGGTGTACGTCTGCTGTCGCGGTAAAAAGTAGTCTATTATACCTACAGCCGAACATACAAACTGATAAATTTTACATTTTTTATAATATTAGTGTAAATAAGTAAATGATACCACTGAACCACACCACTGGGGTTTCGTTTACAATTTTGTTTTGGTAACGACACCATCGTAATGAAGTTCTAACACAAAACTTATGCATTTTTCTATATCAATTATTTTTCATTCGTAAGATCACGACCTTTTAAAAAAAAAGTGAAACTGTTAGCAGATGAAGAGGAACAGAGATACGATAAAAAAAGTATAGTTATTGTATAATTATAATTATCGGATCAAGTTTTATAAATTAATTTAGTTCTTTTTTGTTGTAATGGATATAATTGTTATGTTTTACGAATCCCTGTGAACCCAATCATTTTCAACATTATCATTAAAAATTACTGGGTGTCGTTTACAATACACGTAGATAACTGACACTGTGTAATCTTTGAGTGTTAAGCTAAAAAAGATTATGTTAGCACTTTTGTTTTGGGTATTGACGACCGGATGGCGTAGTGGTTTGTGTAACGGACTGCTATTGTAAAAGGTTGCGGGTTCGATTCCCAATTTGTGTGCATGAACTTTTAATGTTTGTGTTGGACTGGGTGTTTCTATGTATAATATGTATGTATTTACAAAAAAAAAAAGGAAATATGTATTTATATCAGTTGTCTAGTACCCATAGTACAAGCTCTGCTTAGTTTGGGAATAGTTGGCGTTGTGTGAATGTGGTAGAATATTATTAATATTTTCTCTAGTAAATAATAAAAACATTTTTTTGTTTGATTGTCTAAAGTCGCTAATCTCTTTAACTATCAGTCAGATTTAAATAATTCTTATTGTATTGGATAGAGTAAGATTATGGGACGTGCCGCAGTGAACATTTTTGCTGGTGCTCGTTAAAAGTAACAGGGAAACTTAGAAATAATCGCATAACTCTTTACGAGATCCTATAGTATATTTTATCATATTACATTTTTTTTAAAGATTTTATTTTAATATGTAGTCAATTTTGTACAGCTAAGTATTTTCTTTTCAGGTACAATATCTGCAGAATGAAATAGCCAAGTTGCAGACAGTCCGAGAGCTTCAGATAAATAGAGCTATTGAATGTAAGTTCAGGGCCTCGTGTGAGTGTATTTCACATCAACTCGCTTTCGACGGCGAGCGCATTAAGCGTTGCGATTGACCCTCACTGAAATTTTTGCCAATCGATATTGCAAACGCGCTCGCCGTCAAGAGCTATTTGATGTAAAATAAACTCACACTAGGACCTCAGGTCTCAAATCTTTGCTGAGCATTTTGTCACTATACTACACTTATCTCCCCACTGTATACCCTTATAGATAAACAGAGGCGTATTAAACTAAATTTACCCAACCCAACTATTATTTTAAAGGAGCGAAACTATCTAATAGGCGGGCAATCGGATATGGCTTATATGGACAATATAAGCGAATATATTATAAGCCTTGCCCCATAAAATATGATTGACACAAATTTGATAGTTTACTACGAAAACCAGCTCAGTGCAGTAAACTTAAAGTTATGACGTATTTCTTTAAGTGATGTTAGTGCTAATAATATCAAATAAGTTTTTGATCTTCATTACCTTTTTAAGTAGTGGGGTATCAACGTTATTGAATGATTTTAGGTCACGACGAAAAAGCTATTATTGAAGCCAAAGTCGAAGATATAATACAGAATGAAAAGCTGGGGAAGGAAAAAGAGTATTTGAAAAAGGTATGCACACTTTTTAAAATTTATTACTTGCCCGAAACATTTGTCCATTTGAACAAATAGCTTTTTTTTAGGAAAACTTTTCTAATTTGTTTTTCTGCCAAACGCGTGGAGTAAATGTTCTGATAAGATTAAATTATACTTTGTTTAGACTTGATTGTAAATTGAATACGTTAAAAGTGGTATTATTTTTGAATGATCGGTTGAAGAATCTAGAACCTTCAATATTCAAACAAGTAAGGTCAAGGTCAAGTAAGAGTCAGTACTGACTCTTATCGATCAGCGTCAGGTTATGTTTTTATAAAATTTATCCTTATCTACCTAAAACATTCCGGCCACTGATTGTCTTGTACAGCAATTTTGAAATTGATAACCTGAGCCACTTTAAAGTACAGAATATAAAAAGTCATTAATCACCAGGATTAAACTGTAAGTAACACAGTCTGTGGTGGTAACTGTTTCTATTCAAGATTTATTTTTATATGTCTTACAGAGTTTAGAAGTTCAGGCCGCAGCAAATCGACACATCAAGGAAGAACTTAAAAAGCAATTCCAGCTTCAACAAGATATATTGCAAGACAGGCTCAAGAAAAAAGAGCAAGCGGTACCTATTTAAATAATACATATCTACTTAGGTAATCTGTGGTGTTATTAGGTGAAAGGTTGATGAGCAACAGACTACTGCGCTTTACGATGCTAAGGATGGGAGGATGAGTGAAATGAGATACAAAAGTAGAAGACAACCAACGATAAGATATGTGCTTGAAAGGGGATGGCTAGAAAGGGGCCTCATATAAAGTTTTTTAATCCGGATTAGCAAGCTGAAGTGGCAGTGGGCTGACCATATTAGACCCAGAACTAACAACCGTTGGGGTAAAAAAGGTCTTGAGTGGAGGCTGCATCTAGGCAAACGTAGTGTAGGATACCTACAGGCTAGGTGGAGTGACGATTTGCGCAAAATGGCTGGCAGGATGCGAGAATGGGAGAGGTGGACTGCGATAGGCTGATGATGATGATGCATATACACTATAACATATGACACTAAGCACCGTGCGCGCTCATTAGTTAAATCAAATAGCGGTACTTCCCCGGTTTCCTGTTACCCATTTTCGTCCCTTTTTATGAAATCACTCACAGGTTACAGAAAAACGTGAGGAAAGATGGTATTTAGTCACAAGATAAGCGGCGATGAAGAAGGATATAGAGATAAAAAACTGTCATCTAGGTATATGAGAAAGATAATATATAGGTATCTTGAGCTTACAAAAAAGTTTTTCCAAAAATATCCTTTTCTTATATTTAATGTTTTAAGATCAATATTTAATATTTTTTTACAGATAATGGGAAATTTTAACCGTGCAGTCTCGGAGCAAGTTGAGAAGGAGCGTGTTGTATTTAAAAAGGAGCTGGCCGCTATGGCGGGTAAACTGCAAGCCATCGAACAGACCTTGAAACGTTAGTACACACTTATTAGTTGTTATATAATTTGACGTTTGATCTTTGACACAATGTAATTTTTATTTATTAAGGCATATTTATTTTGAATATTTTGTAAAGATAAATAAATATTTATCTTCACAAAATATATTACGCGAAATAATGAATATTATAACTTAAGTTTCTTCCCAGGTATTCATTTATTTAGTGTACTTAAATCTTTAATTTAGGGTAGCCATATAATTTTTTTGCTACTTATGTCATCAGTTTTAAAACTGCGACTTAAAGGTTAACTGCAACGGGTGTAGTGTAATTTAAAAAAAATGTGTTTTTCATTTTTTACGTTATAGAGGAAAACGTTTAGATCTCGGAAACGGGCCTAATGTATACATCGGCTAGGTAGTTCGCTGTTTAGACGGGTCGTAGTTAGAAATAATGAGCCCCAATGTAGTTATCAGCTCGATCTATAACACAAGTTTAGCTTATACGGCTTCCGTCTGCCGTCCAAAGTATTTTATTTTGTAGTTATGTTGAAGTTTAACTATTGTTATTATATATAAATGTATTTTTTTACATAAATATATTTAAAGGTGTAATTTATATGTATTTTTAATGGAATAAAGAAAATAATAATAATAAATTTATTTGAAGTCCAAATTTACATAATTTGAAACGATGGCCACATTAGGCTTATCCCGTATCGAGGATATCGACGGTTATACATGTGGACGGTAGTAATAATAGTAGAATTTTTATAAATCTCATATAAAAAGTAGAAAGCGATCACAGTTTACTTAAATCTATATTTATTTAATCGAGTAAGTTTAAGTATGAAGTAAAAGTTTAAGTAGTGTACTGTGGTACTAGAGCGCGCGGCGGGCGAGGCGGAGGCGCGGCGCTCGCAGTCGCTGTGGGCCGCCGCCGAGGCGCTGCTGGCCGCCACGCGCCGCCCCGGGCCCAGCGCGCGCGTCGACAACGAGCTCAAGGCGCTGCAGAAGGCGGGTGAGTATACCGGGGGGCCCACTCGACCACCGACCGATTGTCCACAAAGGTTTTTGGAACGAAGTTCCTTATCGCGCGTTGTGAAAGGGGGCTAGACGGAAAAAATTCTTACGAAAATTGGTCTCGACACTTTTTGCTATAGTAAGCTATTGTAAGCTGTGCGGCGTCGCATGTTTCTCTGTCTGTCTCTCTCTCTCTCTTACAGAAAGCAAGCCAGATATTTTCATTTCTATCTTTTTATGTCAGTCATTCAGCGCCATCTATCGAATAGATAGGAAATCATTTCTCAAGGAGATTTTACCAATGTATAAATTGTTTTAATTAGAAACCAACTGAAAAATATGTAGGTAATAGCCGCTTTCATAGATGGCGTTGTAATTAAAATGTGCCGAATCAGTTTTACTCGATCGTTACAACTTCGTTCCTATCGGGCGTCCCACGACACCACACGGCTTTTTTATTCTTAAAAATTCCACCAGCGATGTACCAAATAGTTTTCGATAGACTTCCTAAAAACTAATATTAAAATTTATAAAATATAATTTTAAATGACTGTAATTTTGTGTAAACATAATATTTTTAGGCCGAATTCGAACAAAACTTTTGCTACCGTTGCCCATTATAAATAAAACGACAAGTTTGACGATTGTCTTGTACCCGTATATAGAGCACAAGGTCCTAAATCGGTTGTTGTACCTCAAAATATTGATGCTGTGCGGGAACTAATAATGAAAGATCGTCATGTTACATATCGCGAGATAGAGGCGTCTCCGCGAATAAGTATGACGGGTATATATAAAATATTACACGATCATTTAGCTGTAAAAAAATCGTTCATGTTGGATTCCGCACAATTTGGGAATTGACCAAAAAACGGACTCGTTGATCGGTGTAAAAAAATGTTACAAAAGTACAATCGGGGTACGTCAAAAGCTATCTATAATATCTACACAGGTCAGGAATCTTGAATATATGCGTATGATCCTGATACTAAACAACAATCAACAAGCCGAACCCAACAAAACCATTCGTACAAAAAGCACTTTGAAGTAAATGTTCGCTTGTTTTTTTTTTTTGTATAAATAAACGTGTGGCTAAAGTGCCACTAGAGTATCGTAAAACAGTTAATTCTGAATGGTACACGACCATTTGTTTGCCAGAAGTTTATGAAGAAATAAAAAGAATAATCGACAACGTAGAATCCTTCTTCATCATGACAATGCTAGCTGCCACACATCGGCCGAAACAACTCAGTATTCGGAAGATCAAAAGATCGAATTAACGGGTACTCCGCCGTACAGCCCTGAATTGGCCCCCAACGACTTCTATTTATTCCCAACTGTGAAGAATAAATTACGTGGTCAACGTTTTTTGAGCAGTGAAGAGGCTGTTGATGCGTTCAAAATGCACGTTTTGGAGATACCACAATCAGAATGAAAAAAGTGCTACGAAAATTGGTTCCAACGTATGCAAAAGTGCATCGATTATAAAGCCGAATATTTTGATAAGCACTAAAACTAATAAATGCTATATGTTTTTTCACTTTGTTTTTCCGGATACATAAACAGCAGCCCTCGTATTGTATTGTGTTTCTTTGGGATCAATTAGGTCATGGAGATTATCCGATACTCCGAGGTTGGCGCTTGGTACTGGTCTCCCGACAGCCATTTATCCTTTGGGTACGGTCCCACCGTAGGATTAGGAATGAGGACAATTAAGGTGTTCGCTAGACGTGACAACCAATTTACGACTGCTGACATATGTGTAGTATATTATGTAATACGTATGTAGTAGTTTCTAAAATTACTCTTTTACAGGTAAAAACGATAAGCTAGTAGAGACAGTGCTGAAAGGAATCTCCAAGGAAATTCATGAGAAAGGCATTGTCACTGAGAAAGCTCTCCGAGATAGGTTTGAAACGGTAATTACTTAATTTTAAAGAAAAAATAAAACATCATCAATCATCAACAGCCTTTAACAGTCCACTGCTGGACATAAGCCTCTCCTTAGAAAGGAGGTTTTGGCCTACTATACCACGCTGGCCAGACGGGTTGGTATAGGGTTTGTGTCAAGTTTTCCTTCTCTCTGCAGTACTGTTGTTCTCCGTAGTTTTTTCCCTTAGTCGGCTCTTACGACACCTACGGAATGAATAGGGGTGGTGACACTCTGTATTCTTAATCCGTCACCACACGGACCGGACGGATTTTTTTATAAAATTATAATTATCAGATAGCCTGTGCCACTCTCACAATTAAGACAATTCTAGTGAGACATCCCTAGCCAAAATCCATCCAGCTAATTAGACTACAGAGTCTGGCAAAGATACATACAGTCGACAAACATAACCCAACTTCTTCTGGCGCAGTCGGGTAAAAATGATCACCGACTTCAAGGCGGTGATGATGAATTGTAATAAACCGTATTCTTCATTCTTTAATTTTCAACTCTTGGGGGTGATATTTCTTCTTCAAAATTATATTGGATCAAACGAAAAGTATACACACATAATTTAAACATAATATTTACAAAACTTTCTGGGAGAGATATGTGTAATACTATATCAATCTTCTTAAACATTTGACAGCAAAGTTTAAAATTATTTTTTTCTTTAATTTATTGTGTCTATAAGGAATTAATTCATTAAGTAATGAATAACTGGTTAAGTATATTATTAGATTTGTATAGTTTTATTTTACTTTACACAATGTACATATATTAATTAAAAATAAAGTGTACCCCAACTGAAAAATATAACTGTTTGTTATCTTTTTATTTGAAGCTTTATACGAAACGATCTTGTTAATGAAGTGATTCTCCAGTCCTCTTATCATGTACAACTTTTTCTCCTAAACAGCTAGAGCGATTTTGATGAAAATGTATGAAAAGTACGTAAAACATGTACGTACTTTTCACACTGTGAATCTCCTCCCTTGTACTCTATTGTGCCTACCTTGAATCCACTTGCCAAATTATGTAATGTATGGTTTCAGATGGAAAATACTGCGAGAAAGGTAGCTTTGATCGGTCGCGAAGGGGCAGCCCTACCTGTGTACTTCTTGTCTTGGCTCCAGTCCAAACTTTTGTTTGTAAAAGTATGTATGCACACTTTTTTAAATTAACGTTACATTTTATACATATGATAATGTATTAAATGTGAATGTGTGTGATTAGATGTACTGCGGGATTTGACTGACTGAAACCGGTTTGTTTTTCATTCCATTTCGAATTTTGTTGAAGTAGGTATAGATAGAACGGAGTTTATGACTTTGGTACGTATTAATTTTGGTCTTAATTATGACATGTTCTGATTACGAGTGATCTAATCGTTTGACGGTTGATATTTTTGCGTTAGTTACTATTCTGAAAAGAAATTAATAAGAAATTCGTTCGTTTTTCGCAGTCAACGTGTCCGCTTTTAGTGTGAGGGCAAAATAATAGTTTATTTCATCTTTAACGCCGAAGCGTCAGGTCGACGGTAATAAATTCGTCCTATACGGAGAGACCGGGATCGAAATACATAATAGAGAACACAGTCGTCGGAATCGTTCGAGAAATAAATATCACGTTTCCTTTTTAGAACAGTGACATACCCCAGGACGAGCTCGACAATCTACCTACCGACTTCTCGAAGCTGGACACGTTCGAGATCATCCAGAGAGCCAGGTACGGGCGCGGTCGCTCACCGTAGCGTAGGGTAGTGTTCTCGCGACAGAGATATAACGGTGGGTGTCCGCAGGTACCACATGGAGCACGGCAACCTGCCGGGCGCGCTGCGCTACGTGAACCTGCTGCAGGGCGCGGCGCGCGCGGCGTCGCGCGGCTGGGCCGAGGCGGCGCGCGCGCACCTGGAGCTGCGCCAGGCCGCCGAGGCCGTCATGGCGCACGCCTCCGTCACGGGCCTGCTCTACCTGTGAGCATAGGTCATACGTCCTCTGTAAAAACCCGGCTTTACGTTCCGACTGTACGTATTCGTTTTCGGCGCGTTCGACTGATAAATAAACTAAATCGATCACGGTTCAACTATAAAATCGACTCTTTCCTATGATCGATTTTAACAAAAACAATGTAATATATGAAAACTGAGAATGTCTAAATCCGTGTAACTTCAGATCTTGTGCGTCCGTTTGTCCGTGTTCGTTAAAACTATACTTGTGACGAATCGAATGAAAGGGCGTTCGACACGTATCGTGAGAGTCGACGTATCGTTTCTATATTTTAAAATAATTGAAAAAATAGTTGACGATCTATAATTCCATCTCTGAAAATACTGATCTTAAAATTGTGGATCATAGAAAGAGCTAGAATCTTAAAGTAATCCATTAAATATCAATATTGCTTTAAAGAACCACAGCTGTATAAATTTTGTGGAGATAAATTATTCGTACTTGATAAAGGACAGTATACGTATTTACCGTACGGCACCCTCTCCATTTTACTAAATACACTGAGCTCCCCGCTATCCAGCTAAAGTAATTCGAAAGAAAAAAATCAAAAGATTTCAATGTTTTTTTTCTTTTATATGTTGTATCATAACATGACATCTAAAGCAAATAATAACAGGATCTATTATAGCATGACATTCATCTAAAGGTATCCACTGGTGATTAATGATATAAAAATATATTTTTATATGTAAGCACGTCTTAAGTGTGTTTTGAGTCTGTTTTTTTTAAATCATCAAATTTCGCACAGGTATAGTTTTATTCGATATACTGTGAAGCCTCATTTAAAAATTACTAATTGTAAACAAATATTTCTAAATATAAACTCTGATTATCCAAAACTGAATACATTTCAATCCTTTCGTTAAATGTGCACAAATGTTCGGAGCATTTAATAGCATCTTGTTGGTCACTATGGCCTTTTACTTATTGTGCCAGCGAAGTGATTTCTTTAATATTAGTAATTTATGTACATACTATAATATCGTACCTATTTAATAAATTAAAAGATGATTTTTAATTTAATGATATTTTATTGCAAAGCCAACGTCATCATCATGAACAGCCTTTAAGCATAAAATTGACCAAAACATGAAGGTTGTGCTTTCTCGATGCCTTCACCGAAAGCCTTGGAGCAGATCCGCTCTTAAGCGTACCAAAGGTTAATAGTCTACCAGCGGCGTGCACAGGATTATGACACTAGACAATATAATTTAATCGTGTGTACACAACCACACAGCCATACGTTTCATAACTTTTAACATGAAACTTGCGAGTTACATTTCCTTTTTGCTGGTTTAATTTTTGTAACTCGGGTACACACCTACCTTTAGACACAATTTTAATCTTTTCACTGAATGTCAATTTTTAATATACACACATTTTCCACACATACCTCACAATCAAATATTTTTGGTGAGTAAATTTATTATCTTTCTAAAAGTGGGTAGGAGGTATCCCTTGTTTATATTGTTTTTTTTTTGCGTGTTGTTTATTTTTAAACTTGTTTTTTTTGAAATTGTTGTTTGGTGTGTCTTTGTTTGGCTATGTCGGTCGTTATCGAGTTACCGGATCTCGGCGGTACAAGTGAATTTCTAACACCAACCGGGAAAAGGACATTTAACGAAATGTCACCTACGGATTTCTCGCCGAAAGACAATAGAAGTAAACGAATTAATAATTCGGATTTAAGTGGAAATGTTTCGTCTCTTAACGGTCGTGATAACTGTGGGGAATACAATTACTGCGAGTTAGTCTCACAGGCTACCGAGTACTTGGCAAAAATTAATGAATTAGTTAATGATCAGGGATCTCGGATGAATGTAGGTAATAAAACGGCAATTATGGATATTACTCAAAGAATTACCGGTATCGTATCTTTGTTAGCAATAAAATCCTCTAGCAACGAAACGAAGTTAGCGAATTTGGAGCGACAAATGGAGGGTATCGCAACTCAACAAACGAGTTTCACGTACGCGGACAAACTTAAGCTTCGATTACCACCTAAATCTGCTCCGTGCCCGGTACCTACTGAAGCGCGCGTTCCTAGGCCTTGTGTTATTGCCTATCCCACTACGGAACGCTTAGCGGACTATGCGACCTCGTCAGCAACGAAACAAGCTCTCATGAAGGCTATTAAACGAGCGATAAGGGATTTCAAATTGTAGGCGTTAAAAAAACCTCTAAGGCAGGCGTCGTGTTACGTGTAGCTAACGAACGGCAGCTTAAGAAACTGGAATCTGTGGACGCCATTAAATCAGTAGGGTTGCGCTTAGAAAAACCGAAAGGCCGTAGGCCCCGTATAATTGTAAAAGACGTACCCGGTTCTATGGAAGATCGTGCCTTCCTAACAGCCTTATACCGTCAGAATATCAAGGACGAATTAAAATTAAGTGAGAACGATTTTATTAAGTCAACCAAAATTGTTAGGCATCGTAAACTAGAAAATGGGCGTCAATGGATAGGCTTAGAATTAGAGGCAGCAGTTCGGAAACATCTAGCCAACACAAAAGATAAACTTTATATAGACTGGGCCACATGTAGATTCATAGACGATATAGAAGTAGTTCGTTGCTTAAATTGTCAGCAATTCGGTCATGTACAAAAGTTTTGCACCATTAAAACCCCTACTTGTGCTAATTGCGCCGCCGCACACGAAACGCGAGCTTGTCCAGATAAAGACACACCAGATTTTAAGCCCACGTGCGCACAGTGTAAGCGGTTCAAAAAACCATCTAACCATCGATGCGGCTCATACGACTGTGCCACATACAAATTAAAACTGGAACAGCTAATATTAAATACCAATTACTGAATAGTTTAACTTAGTTTAAAAAAAATAAAAAAATTAAGAGTAACTTACTAAGTAATGAATAATATTTCGATAGGCCAGTTAAATCTTCATAACGATAAAATAGCTACATCAGAATTAGACCGTTTAATTTTAGAACAAAAGTTAGACATTGTCCTTTTACAAGAACAATATCAGAGCGCTCACTTGCGTCGTAATGTAGTACAGCTTGACTGCCGTGCGCAGGCTGGGATATATGTTGCAAGTTCTAATTTTACGGTAACATCTTTGCGTAATCTTATGACGTCACACTGCGCCGTTGCTGAGATCTCATCCTCTACCTGTAAGGTTTACGTAGTGAGCTGCTATTTTCAATATTCACATCCTATTGATCCTCACTTACATCACTTGCGTTACGTCTTGCAGTTCCTCGTGGGACATAAAATTATCATTGGCGCTGATGTCAATGCGTCATCTTCATTATGGTATGGCAAGTTGCGTTCAACCGACACGGTTCGACGTTGTGCGGTTGAAGATTTCATTGCGGAAATGAATTTTATTATTCACAATACCCCCGATGCAACACCAACTTTTTGCAACCCAATGGGTGAGTCTTCTATTGACGTGACGCTTACGCGCGGCGACGTCTCGATATCCGGATGGCGTGTCCTTCCGGACGCATCCTGTAGTGATCACCGCTTGATCGTGTACGAATTCATACCAAGGGTTGCACAGGATCCACAAAGGGCTCCCTGTAATTTTAGATATAAAACTATAGGTGCGAACTGGGCTTTGTTTGGTTCACTCTTTGCAACTCATACCAAAGACTTCAGTCGCAGTAGTTTATCAGCTGAGGAAAGCGCAGAAATACTATCAGAAACTTTTACATACTGCGCTGATGTAACTATTGGTCGCGGATCTATCACTAACACTCGTAGATGTGATTGGTGGAATGATAGATTAGCCGAACTACGTAGAAGCTACCGGAAAGCTCGTAGAAAATTAAACACTATTAAAAAACATAACGTAACAGGAGATTTGTACAACAATGCTCTCATTGCTCTTAGAGTTGCCAGGTCCCACTACAGAGCTGCTGTGGAAAAATCCAAGGGAAACTTAATTCAGAAACTTGTTGATAAACTCGATAGAGAGGGCACCTTTGTATCACGAATTTAAGGCAAATAGATCAATCGACCTTGCATACATACAGAACATCAAAATTAATAACAGATATACCACAGGAGTAGAACAAACAGCAGAATATCTTTTAGACTCACTCGTACCTGACGATAGACCGGAAAACGACACTGATCATCACCGACAGATCAGGCAGTGGGCCATCGAACCACCACTGTCTCCAATGTCTGATTTACCATCTTCAGACGAATTTCTCGGTATCATTAGATCCTTGCCGCTAAACAAGGCTTCGGGCGATGATAAAATATCTAACAAAATTATAAAAGAAGCTTGTAAACTTTCGGGTGACACGATTTTCACTGTCTTTAAACGTTGCATTGCTGAAGGAATATTTCCTCGTATATGGCGGTGCGGTAATATTCGTATAATACCAAAAAGTGGCGACAAGCCACCGGATGATCCTAAATCCTACCGACCAATCACATTGTTATCATCGTTAGGAAAGCTTTTAGAACGTCTTGTAGTGCCCCGGCTTCTGCCAGGTGGAGTCAAATTTCATGATAGACAATTTGGATTTACGTTGGGTAAATCGACAACTGACGCTGTTATATCGGTTAGAAAGTTTGTCACAGGGTCAAAATTTCAATACGTGCTGGCTATTTTCTTAGATAAATCTGGCGCCTTCGACAACGCATGGTGGCCCATGCTGTTGCTGAAATTAAAATCACGGGGGTGCTTTAAAAATATTTATTCCCTTATCTCTTCGTACTATTCACAAGGTACAACTAAACTAAGACTTGGTCATCATTCTGTGTCGAAGGCGCTTACAATGGGATGTCCTCAGGGATCGGTGCTAGGTCCATACTTGTGGAATATCGGCTTCGACGATTTTCTTGCGATACCAATACCATCCGGATGTACTCTGAGCGCGTATGCTGATGACGGCTTATTACTGGTGGAATCTGATACTAGGGCGGGGCTTGAGAGATTAGCCAATAGATGTTTGAACTTGATATCTCAATGGGGTGAACGTAATCGCTTAACT